AATATGCCAAAGAGAAGATGATTATTAGGTGCCGTCGAGAGATCGTTATTGTCATCGAGAGGTTGGTGTTGACGTGTAGATAGTGTTCTTGTCGTAGCTTGCAATCTAAACCCGTCGAGAAAAAACGTTTCTATGTATGGCGAGATATTCCTAAAGGACGTCAAGGCTTCCCTGAGATTTGTTATCACGTCTTGACTCCAAGGAACAAAGATTCCTCGGACTGCTCCACACACCGATGAAGCGTGTTAACCCATCCTCAGATCACGGGGCCTCGTTGCGTAATGGGACAAAAAAAACAGAGGACCTGTTTTGTCGTAGTCTCCCTTGTGGTGAAGAGATGCCGTCGAGGATACAGAGGTCGGGGATCTAGCTCAGGAAGGGGAGATCACGGAGGCACCACCAGTTCGTCGTGATTTACTTCTCAGGAGAAACAGAGGTGAACCTCAACGCGTATGGAGGCAAGTCTCGATCCGGAAAGCGTGTCGTGACAGAGAAAAAATCGACAAAGATCGATTACTGGGAGATAGAAACACCACCAGCCAACAAAGGTTAGCCGGATCCTTCACGCTCTAACACCGGAGATCGTTAATCTACGCAAGAGATCTCTTCAAAACGATCACGCTCCTTGTCGCCATCCAAGCCGCCAATTTTATAGATAAGTATCTTATATATTAAAACAGAAGTCACAACCTTAATTAATGTGTGATTTTTAACAAAATGGACCTATTCCTAAAAGTGGACCTTACCATTATTATCCTTAACTAATCGACACATAATGATAAAAATATGCCTAAAATTTATTATGCCTAACTAATCGAGAATGCATTGACAATACTACGCCTAAAAATCCGGCTTTTGACTTTCTTCTATGTGCAACTTATTTAATTAAATTAACCACTGACTAAACAGAAGTGGAACCTAACATTATAAAATTCTAGCATTGGTTTAGTCAAAATAATTTATTACAAAATTATAGTAACAGTTTGGGCTAAATATTTTATGTATGGTTTGGTCTAAACATGTTATATAAAAATCTCGACAACAAGTTCGGTAAAGAACACGTTTCCCAGAGAAAAATTTTTACTTGATCATTTTGGGTTTATAAAAATTTATATTAGACTTTGAATAATTGAATTTAAAGAATATTTGACCCATTGAATTAATATTTTAAAGAATACTTGACCCATATATATACTATTTAAATCTTTACAATCTTAACTTTTAATAGATTAGATAGTTCATTTAAAAAATATAATTAAATGTTTAATTAAATTCTTTATAAAATCTATACACAAAAATAAATATGATTGATTTTTTATTCAGTAATGAAATACTAACCCAACAAACAAACAAAAAATATAAACAAACAAACACATGTGAAAATTGAAACAGTCTATTTAATTGAGAACAAGTATACTCTAATATTATTATATTTGAAAAAAATTAAATATACTCGATAATATAAATCTATGAAGCTAAAAGTTTTATTTTATAAAAACGTTATAAGTTTTTGAAATATTACAATATCTTTGGAAGTGACAATTAAATAATATTTTATCAATATTTATATATAAATACAAGCTAAATGAAATAACAATCGAAAGCATATATATATATATATATATATATATATATATATATATAATAAAATACAAATACATGTGCAAGTTTGAAATAATCTATTCAATAAGAAAAATATAGTAAAATTATTATATTTTGAAAAGTGATAGACACACCTCATATTATTATAATATATATCAATTTAGAAATGCAAATTGTGGTCTGTTCTTCCCATGTGGTTGATGGTCGCTATCATCAGGACCTCCATTTCAGTTCTCTAATATGAGTTTCTAAAATTAAGTTTTAGTAACCCACCCTTATGTTTTATTTATGCCTTGTGATTCTGTTTGTCTCCGGAAGGATTGTAATCCTTGCCGACTTATGGCTTTGGAAGAATATGTTTCTTACCGGTTTGTGTCTCTTATGTAGTACTTCAGTTCAAGTTAAATGAATTTTATAGATCATAAAAAAAAAATGCAAACAAAATCTTGATATAAAAATAAATAGAAATAAACACCCGCGCGGTTGCGCGGGTCGAGATCTAGTTATTACTTTAATAAGGGATCTTAACGTCATCAATTATTTTTCATCTGGGCCATATTTAATTTTGTTTGTCAACGGATCATATCTAATTAAAAATTGCTTTTTAACAAACAAACATTTAAATACAATATAGACGGCAAAAAAAACAAACAATAGTATATTATATCCACATGTTATATTATAAAAAAAGCATATGTGTTTATAAAGAAAAAACAAACCATACATAAAAATATATGGTGCCAAAATGTAAGATTTATATATATTCTAATCTCAGTAGCAATTAGAAACATTTGTTAAAATAATATTCGCGCAGAGCGCGAATTAATATCTAATTTTCATTAAATATAAGTAAATGAAATCACAAAATGATTAATCCTTTATATATTAAAACATAAGTCACTTAGCCAATTGGATTTTGACACATGGATAATGTTTTACAATTTTAAAAACATAAATGAAATGAAAGGAAATTGAATTAAATGCAAAAAACATTTCGTCACTTAACTGTTTTAAAAAAATATTTATAAACTAAAACATCCCTAAAATTTCTCACACCCATGAACTCATGATCTTCATAACAGTTAGTCTTTCTCTAGATTAGCTCAAAATCCATATACCGTAAATTCATCTTTACTTGCTATTTTTAAAAAAAAAACATTTCCTATTTTTTGTCACAGCTTCAAATTCTCTCCAAACTATGATGCATTTTTGAGGGAATAGATAGAAAACTTAAATGACCATATCAAGAACATATCAACATGATCTCAGGGAAAAACTTGGCACAACAATATTTCTTCAAAAAACAATACTTTCATGAAGCGAGAAACAGAAAACACAAAGTTGTTGAGGCTATGTAAACCGAGGGTACTCCAAATAGGCTGAAGAATGTAAAATCTGGGTTAGTAGCTCTAAAATTTATTCTGTTCTAATCTACTTATTGCTTTTATTTTGCTTCTTGCTTCAATAGATACTAGCTTTTGACCCGCGCGTCCGCGCGGGTGTATGTTCGATGCAATAATATTTTGTTCTTGTTTGAAAAGTTTAGATTCTATTGTTTTCATGTTATTCACTTTATATTTAGAACAAAATGATATAATTCTAGATTTTAACGTTCTGCTTTAAAAGGGCGGGTTTGTTTCCTTTGTCAAATTTTTTTTTTATTTTTTAAATGAAGTGTGAACATAAAATGTATATCAAGTATCTTAATGATAAAATAAAGAAAATTTGTTATTTGTGTGAAAAGTTTAGTTAAACTTAAAAAATAATAAATTTTTTCTTTTCTTTTTGTGAAAAGAACATAAACCTCACAATCATAAAATATAATCTTCATAGGAGCTGTTTTTTTATTATAAATTTATAATAAAAAATTGTGTTGATTGATTATGATAATAAAATCAGAATTCTATTAATCTATATTATTGAAGTTGTATATTTGGACAAAACTTTTAATAGGTGTGATCAGCTAAAAATTTGAATTTTATTTTATAATAATGTATAGATATATATACATTATCTCCTATTCCTCTACCCCAACCATTACCATTTATTCCCAATCAAAGTTTTCTTGAGAAAAACCAAGGAAAACAACTTAGTTTCTTTCACATTTATAATTGTAAAACTCTTGAGAAGAACCAACGCATGTCAATGTTACCTTTATCTAGGGAGATGCAGGCAAGTTGTTTTTGATCAGTGTGTTATGATCTTTTACATCAGCTTTTTTTTTTACCTTGAAAGAAACTTTATTCAAAACTATTTTTCTTGAAAGAAAAACTATGTGACAACACATTGAACAACAGTGTTATGATGTCTTCTACAAGACAAATATTCCTCGAAAATATTACCAAGACATTGCACAACAGTGTTATTTCAAAGATTGCAGAGAATGATAGATTGAAACATGTTCGTTATTTGTCTTCTTCTATGTTCAGTCCTCCTCTGTTTCTTGCTTTTTCAAGTAAGTGGTTTAGGCCATCATAGATTCGATGAAACTTCCAATAAAGCTCTGAAATTGCTTTGTATAAATCATTTTATCTTTTCATATACTCTTCTACTCTTTCTTATTTAAGCAATCATCTTTCTTCTTCACAACACTAAGCATTAGAGTGAGAGTATAGAAATAAAAACTAAACAATATGGGTTCTGAAAATTCTGTCAAGAACTACAACTCCGATGACAGTGATGCCCCCTACACCAACGATACTAATCAGGCCCTGGAAATTCTGTAAAAAAATTTCTCAAGTAATTTATTCTTTATGTTAATCATAATAAAAATTGGACTCACAGATGCGTTGAGAAGAAGATAGACCAGAGTCGGCCATTCCTACTCTTTTATACAGGTTCACTCTTCTAAACAATTATACTCTTTTGTCAATTTTCTCCTTTAGAACTTCACTTGTTAGTATAGTTTTACTTTAGAACTATATGAGTTGATTGGTTAGATAGGCTCTTGTGTGAACTGAATAAATTGTTTAGATTAGTAAAAATATAGGATGCATCTGATATTTAATAATTTTAACGTAATCTCATTTTAAAACCCAGCTTATTATTAAATATAGGAAAATCAAATAACACCAAAAACATAAAAAAAAAAAAAAAAACAAAGCTTCAAAGTTTAAAGAAACTCAAAAATCAACAGCATAACAACTTGAAACATAAAGGGAAGGAATTTGATATTGGAAATGGGCCATGATCTTCAGTCTAATCAGTCTTGGTCTTCTCTTGTTTGATTAGCTTGGTGCATTGTTTCTTCGAAGAAGAGGTTAGGTCCTGTAGGTCATANTAAAAAAAAAAAAAAAAACAAAGCTTCAAAGTTTAAAGAAACTCAAAAATCAACAGCATAACAACTTGAAACATAAAGGGAAGGAATTTGATATTGGAAATGGGCCATGATCTTCAGTCTAATCAGTCTTGGTCTTCTCTTGTTTGATTAGCTTGGTGCATTGTTTCTTCGAAGAAGAGGTTAGGTCCTGTAGGTCATAGTCATCGTCTTTGCGCTTAGTTATAGGAGTAGGACACTCATCAGAGGAAATTTGATCCAACATCATGACCTAACTCATTTAAATTTGAGACTACTATTAGACGCTATGATAATGCACACACGGATCAAACTATAATGCAAAAAGCTTAATACAAAAAAAAATATACTTACAGATCCAGATGACATGGTAGAAGAAGTTGTGACCATATCAGAATTTGATTGAGTCATTCTCGATAGAAAAAACTTTATCTCCAGAACAAACCTCTAAAACAACAAAAGTGTCTGATCCATTTGTCACATTGTCTGAGGTTATGGAAATCCCTAAACAGAAAGACTTTCCGATCAAACTAAGAATAGGTTGTGGTAGCAGCTCTGGATCTTCAATCTGTTATAAATAAAATAATATATGAGGGTCGAATGTAAACAATTATTGTGGGGGAAGTTACTGTAAAACAAAAAATCATATCAAAATATACCTCCTCATAAGAGCCATCCCATAATTCTTCAGCGTCCACTCCAACTATGGACTTACCAACAGAGTATATCAACATCATAGTACATGTTGCAGAGTCATCCTTCACAACCAAATGTAGCTTGAATCTAAAATTTAAAATTTAAAATTTAGGATATAGTAAGAATACTTGAATCAAGTAAGATATGTGAACTCGCAGGAATTAGTTTAATTAAATAACATCACTTTTGGGTGCCACGTTATTGATATTAGAACGACAAAGTTCACAGCGAAACAAAGGCTTATCTTTTTTTGTCATGCTTTCATAATCAACTTTAGGAATCTTATTGACACGTTTTTGGTGCCGGTTACAACCAATGTAGAACCAAGGCCAATCTGTATCAATTGCTTCAACAGTACATATGATTTTGCAAATCTCCACCTAAGGGCGTTCAGCAAATTAAAATCCATTTGTATTCAAACGATGATAACCATAACGATGATATCCTGTTTGGCCTCAGCGACCTCTGAAATTGTTTTGATCTTAGCAAGATCCCAATCATAAGCAATTCTCTTACCATCCTTCTTTCCAGATGGTTTTTGGACCAGAGAAACAGAGAGGTCATCATTTGTGAGCCTAAAATGAATTAAGATCACTCAAATTTTGATATTTAAGTTATATAAGATAGGTAGGTAATAGTATATAAATCTTAACAAAATAAATACCTCTGAGTTAAATCAGTAACTTCTGGGATCATTGCATTCAGAAACACACGTGAAGCATCAAAAGCATTAGTGATTTGCATCTCTCCTAATAATCATTAAACATAGGCTCTGAATTAGAACGTAAATTTAATTTAATCAACTGATGTTATAAGAGTCAAAACAAATACCTCTAAATTCCTTGATTTTTGAAAATCTGATCAAACAAATAATTGTTTGATCTTTACCAGCCACAGGAAACGGTTCAAGTTGCTCGGCATATGGTCCCCATAGACAGCATGCAAGATTGTTTCCTCTGAGGATATTAAAACATGTTATTTAGTAAACGAAGCAAGCATAATAAAGTGTAAAAGCTAACGAAATAAAAAAATGTTGTGAGAACAAACCCTTCATCAACTATGCGAAACTGAATCCTCTTTCTGTCTTCGCCAGAAACTTGAATAGTCTGTACATCACCAAGATCATGAATTCTTCCAATCACATCTGTGAGATAGAAAAACGAAACATAGATAAGGACTTATATCAACGAAAACATGTTTCTAAAAAATATGAATATAACATAAATTGAGATTACCTATGAGAAAAGAAGGTTTTTTGGTTCCATTTTCAATTTCTTCATAATTAGCAAGAGATAGAAACATTCTATCATCAACTAACTCTGCTCTTGATATCACAGCGTCTTCTGCTATTACCATCTTGTATTTGTAGTTGGTAGTTCGATATTGACCACCAGCTGCGGTGACAGTAACATGTTCAATGACTTCCCATGAATCTACAAGTAAGAGGCGTTGAATTCGTTGCATGAGAGATCTTTTGCTAGTAGCATGTATCTTGTTACCCTAAGAAAAAACACAGTGATATTAGATAGATTTATGACATTAGTAATACAGTGAAAGGAAGAAACGTGTTATAGAAAACTTACCCATTGATCTGCTAAGACCATCTCGAAAGTTTTACCTGCATAAGGCATATTTTGCTTCCATGAGTGTAAAGATTTCACTTGAATTCTCTAGTTGTCTTTGAATGGCCTGAGTTTTGTGAGAGGAACAAATGTCGTCATATTAGACATGTTGAGGTTTTGTGTTTTCTTTGATATGTTTTCGAGAGTAGGTGTTGAGATATATATAGTTGTGATGAAAAAGGGGATCCCGTTAGGTCATTAGGTAATAATTAGATAGTAGATTTTGGTAGTTATAATTTAAACACAGAATCAATGGCAAAATCTTTGTAAAATTATTGAAACAGAATATTCGATGTTTAGAGATCAGAAAAACTTGGTTGGCAAGTTATTTTAATAATAATTGCGTGATCATATCTATCCCAAAGCTTTGCAAATTTGTTTTAAATGCTGAGTACGTATAATCTGGTAAAAAATATTCTTTTTGATTTGTTTTTTAAGTATCGTAAATATAGGTGTTTGTTTTTTAATACGATATATATATATATATATATATATATATATATATATATATATATATATATATTTAAGGATAGGGAAAGACTTTAATTAGGTAGGATATTTTTATTAATAGAATTTGATAGTGATCTGGGTTACAATTTGTAAGCCCAAAAAATAGGGAATGGGTAACGAAATTTCTAAAACAAATAGGCAGTGGCATAGATATGTAATATTTGTGCAACTCTTAGGGCTAATTCCTATTTGTACTTCTGTCTTAATAGTTTAGATAGGCAAAAGTTACATGTTGGGCCAATAACATTTTTAAAATGGATTAAATCAGTTCTCGATTTTGCTGGAAATACTTATATAGTATGGTGGTGATAATTCAGGGAAGAAAAGTAAGAGAGACTTACTTTAAAGCACAAGTACTAGGCTTTTAAATATTTTGAGACATGCCACGAGAAAAAAAAATGTGACATTAATTAGAAGGCAACAAATTGTTAAGAAACTCATGGAAAAGAAAACCAAAAAAGACTAATCTACTATCTAGATAAAACATAATCTGATCAACTTTGTCTCCCTATTATCTATTTATGTGTTTATTTTGTTTACTTCTGGTCAATATATACACTTTTTTCTTATATAATGTAAACAAATTTGTAGATTTCTTTGATTCAAAAAAAGTTGAAGCGAAGAGCTGTAACAGATACAATGAATGACAACAAAATCATTCATAGGAAAGAGGTAAACATTATAAAATATACCAACGTCAGTTACTTAAAAAATTAAAGGGTTGTATTATAATTTTACTTCAGCAAAAATATACTTTTCTTCTAAAAAAATTCATATGTAATAAATTTTCTTTGGTTTTGAAAAGAGATCAGTATTTTACATTCAAGGTTTATATGAGACTATTGTAAGATATAAACATCTGAAAACTATTTTTAAGATGCAAAATAACATATTATCATTGTTTTTTTTTTACGTCAAACAGCTGATCTATTACTCAAACAATTTGAGGTGGTCTGGGTAATCAGACCGGAATAGAACAACCAACGTACATAAGCTTACGATAAAAAGACCTAGCTACCTTAGCTAGAGAATCAGAAGCGCCGTTCTGAGTTCTAGGAACATAAAAAATCTTGAATTCAGGAAAGCAGATCTTCAGTGTCATCAATTTTTCCAGTTCCGTTGAGAAACTAGGCCATGCATGAGAATTTCTGAGCATCTCGATCATCTCCTTGTAATCAGTTCCAAAGTTCTTATATGCCGAATGTTGAAGCATGTTCTCCATTGCCCATCGTAGTGCTTCCAACTCTGAATGCAGCGCCGATTCCACTCAATCAAAGTTTTGCAGCCCCATTAACTATCTATTCTCGAAATTATCCTTCAAAAACTCATCCACATCCACTAAAAGTATCCATATTATCATTGTTAAGAAACACAAATATTATATTTTGTATATCCATATAAACACTACCGTGCATAGCAAAGGGACATATACTAGTATTTTATAAAGAATTTCAAAAAAAATTAAACTAAAATCCGATGAAGGAGCAACGACAACTGCCAAAGAGAGTCATCCGAGAGAGAGCCTGTAGAGAGAGACATGTTAGAGAGACAGAGAACCGCCTGAGAGAGACCTGTTGGAGAAAAGAGACACGAGAGGCAGATCTAGGGTTAGGTGATTGTGTGTAATTTTAAAGTTTAATTAGGACTATTTTTGTTATTTGTCATTTTTGACAGATGCATCTGGATGCAGGCTCAGCTAGCTTTTTTGAAAAAATTAAGCTGAGTTTTTGAAACTCATCCGGGTGATCTATCTGGATGTACCCTCACTAAGCGAACAATTCACCTTCACCTAGATGGATCAGTTGACTGAGCAAACCAACAGCACCATAATATACATTAAACCCACGCCTAATTCCAAGCCGGGGGTTAAACGCACGCCTATTTTCTTACAACATTTTGTGATTCTAATATTTTCACAACCAAATCGTGTCCTCAAGAATTTAATCTTTTACAACATTCTGTGATGATATATTCAAAACCATATGGTGTCCTCAAGAATCCAATATTCTCTCGCTTACAGATACATGACATACACACGCACACAGAGACGTAATGTACTAATTTACTCAACAGAAGAAAAGAATCTCTCTAGCTAAAATCACCTCACAGCATATACTTGTATATATAGATTGTACACAAACATTCATTAGCATCACATCTTACATAAGGGTGGGATATGGATTGTAACCTCCTTGAACAGAGCCATACGGTTGGTGTGGATTACTATTCGAGACAAACGGGTTGCCGAAGGGATTATTCATGTTCTGTTGTTGTTGCTGCTGATAAGGCTGCACAGGTCCCATCATCATTCCTGAGTTCTGATGCTCAAACCCATACGGCTGATGATAATGATTCGCCATTTGAAGAGGAGGAGGAGCTGGGAGTCCATTAGATGCAAAGAAAGGCTGGTGCATCATGGGACCGTTATGAACTGGATGCTGTTCCCATGGATTGTGGCTCCTGTTTTGCTGTTGACTCACTCTAATTGCATCCTCGTATAGGCTGTCAAGTGTCAGCTTGTCCAATCCACCCGCCTTTGATACAGGAAGAAATCAAATGTCAACTTTTCAAAACTGAATATATAAGACGGAGAGAGAGAGAGAGGAAATTACCAATTTGCTATTTGCAGCAGCCACTTCATTTGAGCTTGGAGCAGTCACAAGTGCCAATTCCCAGCCAGACGAATTCCCATTTGTGAAATCAGTTGTAGAAACTGGTTGCTCAACTGGAAGAAACAAATATATGTGATGAGAGAAGATACATATTGATGATAACTTCATGCAATATTAAAATGGTTTACCGCTAACAGGTACAATAGCCAAAGCCAAAGCATTTTTCTCTTCAAGTTCAGAGACAACTGGAGCTGGATCATCCATAGACTAGCGAGAGAAAGTTGAATAGTCAGCAGCAAAACCAAGAAGAAAAACATATAAATTGTCCAATATTTGCAGTAACTAATTAGCAAATACCAGTAAATCAGGTTGTTTCTCTACAGGCTTCTCTACTTCTGCTTCTGCTTTAACCGGAGCTTCAGGTGATTCCGGTTTCTCTTCAACAACTTTTGGTGGCTTTTCGTACTCTATGGCTAAGATCTCTTTGGGGGCAGTAAGTTTCTCCAGTACCTGCCAATATCGTTCGTTAGAAGCGTTAATAACCAGCTTCGTGGGTCAAAGACCAAGAAAATAACAACGAAACACACTCTCGTACTACCTGTTCCTTCTTTGCACCTGCTGCTAATGGTGCTTCTTTCACATACTCTTCCATTGCTTGTAGAAAAGAAGTGGGAGGCTACGTACAACGAAATATATATATATATATATATGGGTGAAGACACAAATAACCCGAACTAATATATACAACACATGAATAAAATAAAAACCCAACCTGCTCAATCTTTACAAACCTATCTCCACCTCCAACATAAACACCTTTGCAAACTTCGTAAAATTCAGAAAGCCTCTCTGCCTGAAAGACATACCAAATGAAAGTAACTAAAAAGGAGAAGCCAACCATATCAAGTAGAGTTTGTTGCGTGTACCTGTTTTACAGCCCTTCTGTACATATCCAACGCCTTAAGAGCATCGTTCCGTTGCATCTCGAAGAACTGTCAACAAGGAAGTTTTGTACCAAACAAGTCAGGAAAGGGCCCCAAAAAATATATATAAGCTTTTGCGTGTACCTTATCAACCAAATTGTCTATTCCATCTGTCAGTGCTTGGTAGAGTTTAGTGCTCTCCGTTACAACCTAGTTGGTGAGTGTTAGATTGAAATTCATGACCCAAATTATAATTCCAGAAGTAGCAATCAACACAGTTAACTTCCTTTCATCATACCATTGAGAGTGCCAATTGTATAATATGGTTTTGAACTGCTGGCCCTTCAGGCTGGAAAGATAACACCAAGGTTCATTTCTTGTGTAATGAGTGCTAACAGAATCAACTCAAAAGAGACTACTCAAGTTTGAAATGGATATGTCACCTGACAATCAAGAACACGGAAAAGAAGTTCTTGTAGTGCTGGTAGTTGTTCGAGCAAATCAGGAGTGTCCAACTCTTTGGTTCTCTGTATTTATTGAACAGCACAATGCTTGTGATTTCTAAGAGGAAAGCAAAACTCTATAAAAAGAACTGGAAACAGAAACTTACTGGTGGGTCAATCTCAACATCGTACTTGAGAACACGGAAACACTCTAGTCTCTCCTCTAAAAAGAGAGCATAGAAACGGACCCAAGTTGAGTAAACCCATGCTGAAAATGAGTGGTAAAGCAAAGATAAGTGAACCAAAGAGCTTAGCTTGCTCTCTATACAAAAGATTCAACAACAGATACTAGTACTACCATTGGGACTCGAATCATCTTTAAAATGAGACATGTTAAGCATATGAGTCCTGCTTCTGCTATAATTAATAACTTCCTCATGAAACGTTTGGTCCACTTCCCTCAAGGCTCGGTGAATAACAATAAGAGTTTTCAGTGCAACCTGACAAAAAACAACAATGATCATCAGCAAAAAAGTTTTAAAAGCATCAAATCAAAGACCTCTTAATCTTATTACAAAAGGCAGAATGCGACTTGACAAAATCGGACAATGAACCTGTTGCAGCTCTTACAGATTTAAAAAAAAAAAAAACTAACAATGCCAGCTGTTTCACATTTCTAATAACAAAACCTATGCGAAGTCCATAGACAAAACAACACCGAAGAACAAAGCAATGAGAATAATACCGCCCAGTTATGTGTTTTTGACAACCGCCTTGCAAGAGCATGGATGCAATATGCAACATCTGCACGAGGCCTTGTTGCAGAAATAGCCATGAAAATAGCTGCACAGCAACTTGTTTAAACACCTTTTGTAAAGAGAAATTAAAACAAGCATAAAATGAAACAACCCACACCTCTGATGTATCTTTCTTTTGAGGGACGCTCCACATGATTAGTAGCCTTCACAATAGCAATATCCAATTCCTGAAAGAAAGAAAACCTCTCATTCACGAGGTTGCTACCACTTAGAAAAAGATTTTCTTTTTATTTTGTTTGTTTACCTTGTAACCACTATTAACTTTTGCTAATGAAACTGTTGTTGTATCTTTGATAGCTCCAAGATACCTTCTTAAACTGCTCTGTGATCCTGACATTTCGTTTTTCCCCTCAATAGAAAGCCTGCAAAAAAAGTTCAAACCTTTTCAACGTTAGATTGCATCAAAAGCCCTAAAGATAGATGTCAACTTTCTAACTTCAAATCACAAAACCCAGACATAAGAACATAAACACCACAAAGAAAAGCCCTGGATTAGAATACTACTGAAACATCAAAATCAGTCCCAGAAACAATGAATCGGGATCCGTAAGCAGACAGACAGACCTGATCAAGGTTTCTTGGAAATCCCAAGAAAAGAAAAGAAAAAACAGCAAATTCAAGAAGATTCAACAGCTACACAAAGGGGGTTTGAAAACTGGACAAAGACATAAGAATATAAAGATGGAATTGAATCGATGTAATAAGAGAGAGAAGGAGATGAGAGGTACAGAGTCAAGAGTCTTCGTTGGGCAGAAGAGAGAGAACCAAAAAGTGTTAGCGAAAATGAGGTAAGAGCTAACGTGGTTTCCTTTGGTTTATTGCCACCGGCGGCTTATATTCTACTATTGTTTTTTATATTATTAAAATACCTTTATTACTAGTATGGTCCATCGCTTCACTTTGCTAATTATTATTCCGCATTAAAAACTGATTATTAAGCATGTTATTAGCGTTTAATTTTGTCTTGCATGATTTCTTACTATCTATGCTAGGTCTTTTTCCGGGCGTTAATTATTTATATATTGTTTGCTATTAATTCATAAAACATATTGTAGAACTTTCATGTGAACATATTATATTTTTGTTGGTTGAATGTTGCATATAGTTTTTTTTGCATTATTTATGTAACAAAAATATTTTTATTCATTTTCTAAAATACCAAAACTGAATTTAGAATACATAAATAGTCCGAATGATGTTGAGAAGTTTATATTAGTTGTATATCTTCAATTATTATCTCATGAGTTGTAGATGGAGGTTTAGCTCTAACTTAGTTAGACATAAAATGAAGTAATTTCTTTATTGTTGATTTTTTTTCTCTTACTACTTCTTTTGATATATGCATGGTATAATATCAATTTTATTTTGTTGAAATTTTGAATAATCTATATTATATCTGATGAATGGAATCTTTTTACTGGTGTCGTGACAATTACTTATATAATTTTATTTAAAGACTTTTTCCGGGCTACGCCCAGATCTTTTGTATATATTAAATAAATTTCGATCTATTTTTTGTATATATTTCATATATATTAATCCTGGAGCATTACAATATTTTTAGTAGTCACGTATCATCATAAGAATTATTTTCAGAATTATTAAAAATGTCACTTATATTATGATTTTTGTTAAACTAACTAATAAATTAATTTGTAAGTTACAAAAGAATATCTTATACTCTTTTCTTAAACAAAAGATATGAACTTCTTATACAATTAAATAAGGTTTTCTCCCTTCTTAGAGTGTACACATCAGCATTTGGAAAGGGGCAAAAAATGACATGTCAGCAAGTACCTAAACCAAATAAACCGAACATAATTTAACTCTCCCGTATATGTTTCATTTGGATTTCTATTTCTCGGTTTTTGTGGTTGTTGTTGGGCTTGATATTTTGTGTGGTAGAAGCCCATTTTTTATTAGGTTTTTGTTGTTCATTCTCTAAGATGGCGAACTCTTTTCGTCTATAGCGCCGCCGGAGAGATATCTGCACAAACCTAACTGTTCACCTTGACATTAATGTCTTCTTTACCCTCATCTATGGAACCTTAGCCACAGTTAGAACCAACGATGACTATCATCTCTTCGACTCCCACATAAGCTTTCTCTACTTTGAGTATAAATACCTCTGTATCCATCGATGTCCACCTCATGCCAAACTCCTCGGAAAAAAATCAAGCAACGATTAACTCCTACACATTCCTTGCTGATTTGAAGGCTGGTCGGTGCTCAAACACGGCGGAGGTCCGGCTTCTGCGTTTTTGGGAGGCGGAAACACCAGCAGGAACAACAGCCGGTCCGGCGAACTGATGAGCCTTGACATATTGCTTATTGATGAGAATGTAAGAACACGATTACCTCTCATTCCTCTGTAATCTGTCTAGAACATTTTTCTCTTACAATGGTTTTTCTTTGTGTAGATTTGTCAAAGGTTTAGAGAATGTGTTCCGGAAATTATATATCAAACTAGGATAAGACCTGCGCCTTGCGCAGGGTGAATATACGTAATTAAAATATAAATTTTTAGTATTGATAAATTTAAAATTTACATATAATTGTTTTTATATTTATTTGAAATTTTAGAATTTTAGAATTTTTAAATAATTATCTATATGTAGGATCAGAAGCAATTGTAATTAGAACTATAGATCAAATCTTAGAATTAAATGGACCTGATTTCATATATCTTTTCACTTTTTAGTGTTCGAGTGATGAAAAATAAACAGAGTGTCATTGGGCTTGATTGGTAGAGTATTAGCAAATTTCCTAATGTTTTTTTAAGAAGCAGTTGGTAAAATAATTGCATTTAAAATATATCAAGTTTCAAAACTATTTTAATATAATTTATTTATTTGTATAATAATATTAGAAAACTATATTTTTTACAAATTATTATTTTTAAATAATTTTATAAAAAATTAAGTTGAATTTTAAATTATTTCTAAAAATAATATTTTAAGTTTTTCAAATACAAATAAAGAATTTAAAATTAATTATGGTCATGATTTAACATAACCATAATGATTTTAAAAAAAAATTTTAAAAAAAAATTAACAAATTAAAATTAACTCAGTTTTATATCATGATTTAAAAATTTAAAAATTAATTATGGTTATGAGAAGTTTACGTTCACGTGTTAATCCTATTTACTCGATATGAATATTGATTTTGAAGTTTATTCTCATTTTGTTAATTTGTTTTGACCTGGGATTTAGAAAATACTTCAGATTTAAAATAATTAAAAAGATACATACTTAGATTAAGATCTGCACTTTATGCACAATAAGTATTTTATATTTATAACTTATTTTCTAATATTCTGCATATCATAAAATAATAAAATAATAAATATATATATGACATAACTAAGAAATCAGTCATTATTATGTAATAAATTGACGTATGCATATAAATTTAACCATCACTCTTGTTTATTCGCAATTAGCGTAAATAAATCAAAATAATCAATCTTATATATTGTAAATGATATATAATTAAATTTAAATGATATAAACATAGTAATATGACACACTTTTAATATTGATATTTATTAAATGAGGTTTCTACTCATATGATTTTATGATTATTTGCATATTTTTGTAACAAAACTTTACACCAACGATTTTTTTTAATGTGAGATGTTTAATAGTTTCAATAATTTATAATCATTTTTAAAAAAAAACAATGACATATTTTAAAATTAAAATATTAACTTTTCAATATATGTTGAAGACAAATATCAAAATATAAGTAAGTATTTTCATACGATTTTTAATTTAATTAAAACGATATGAAATATATGTATAAACTAAAATTATTTTTTCATATGGTCTTATAATCATTATATTTTAATATAGAAAAAAATTAAAACCTTGATCCTAAAAGTTTATGTGAGACTTTTAACAGTTTTAGTAATTTATACTCATTTTGAAAAAAATCAAAATACAACATACACAAAAAAAAATCTAGATTTTTATTATATGATTAATGTAATTGTGTAATTTATTTTAATAAATAAATAAACAAAATGAGAAAAAAGTATACAGATTGTTATCAAATCTTTATTGTTTAAAATCATTAATTGTCATATATATTTTAATCAAATTAGGTAATATCGTAGGTTTTATTTAAGGAAAGTATGCGAAACAATAAATATTTGATATATGCGACCAACTATAGTCTACGAAATATTATATTGCTAGAGAATATAATATTTAGACTATACATTATATCACATGCTCTAGAATCCTTGGGATTTGAAATAGAAGCCAAAGAACTATGCCACATAGGATTTGAGTTATTTTTAATTCTTACAAACTTAAGGTTACAACTTTTTAAATGATTCTCAAATAATATATAGGGGATGTTTTTTAAAGTTTGCGAGACAGTAATCGATGGCTTTATTGCGTGCATCATTAGTTTCTGATTTGAGTTGAAAGCTTTCCTTAATCGAAGCTTTGAAATATTTATTTTTTACTCTCAATTATTCTTGCCTTTTTGTGTTTTTTGGTTAAAATTGACTGTTTCTTTTTAAATGACTAAATAGGCAACACTGATGCAAGCATCCATTGCTGCGGCTCGACAGTTGAGATTCCGGCAGTCCCTCAAAGAAGGTTCTGTCTAATAGTAGCAAGCTTTCAAATCATGTGTTTAATCTCAATATGTACATGCTCTCTGTAAAAGTTTGTGGAAAGACGAAACCAAACACATCGTCTGATATGATCATCTCTCTATCACTTTGGTATCGGTTAAGATGAAGCTCCTCCTCCGTCTATGGTGTTTCAAAATACGTTCTCCTTTTTTTACTGCTCTTAACTTAAAAGTTAAAACACACATTTCCTGGAAAATTTCTTTTGTATGCCCTATGGCTGTTATAATATTTAATTGAGTTGCAGAAGCATGGGGTTCAGCTATGTCATTGCGAAGGCACTTTCGTTTCTGACTAATGTATGTTACTTACGAGTTATGCAAATATCTATGTTTTAAGTTGTTATTTCTTTTCTTGCTAAAATTTTTTTCCATTAGGCCCAGTTTTGTCATCCAATTCAACAGATTATTGGTCGAAAACTGCATATTGACAACTCAACATTCAAGGAAGCGAGTTTATTTTCAGAACCGGGAAAGGATATGTAGAGAAAATTTCTCTCAACTTATTTATAGTCGTCTGGTATTTGGCCCCTCCCTTAATATACTGCCAACGAGTTTGCTTATCTCTGACTTGTGAATTTATAGGTACAAATTTATTAAAGAGGTTGGTGATGGAACTTTTGGTCCTGTTTTGCTTAGTTATCAATAAGCAGACGGGTAATCTGTAAGGCTTTATTTGAGAGCTAACTATGAATGCATAATGTTTTGGGCTTTGTTTGGTAATTAAAAAAGAGTTGGTGAAGGAGTAGGATAGAGGCTAAATGACCAGCGGCGATTTAAAATCTCCGGTTTCGTTCACTTACTGCGTCAAGAACGACACCCAAAGGAGAAAATGATGATTACAATCTGCTTGTTTCGCTGTTTAGTATGATGATTCAGGAAGATGGTGAAGGGGAGGAAAAAAAGCTGCCATAGTGTTTCTTCCGAGAATGACACCATGTCTTCTCAAGATCCTAAGCCCAAGAGGATCGGCCAACTCTGGCCGGAACAACGTTTGCATTTCCTTTCACTTTAATGAAAATTCTCCTCTGATTCTGAAACTGACAGACAAAAAAATATAAGTTTTTGTACTCTCTCTTTTGCCAAAGAAATATTATGTCTCTGTATTGGAAGCTGAGATTGGTGAAATATTGAAATTGTCCTCCAAAATAATACTAAGAAACCATTTTCCAGCAATAGATATCAAAGTACCGATGACATGCATGAACAAATTAAACATTTGTGAGCTGATCTCTCTTTCGGTCTTATTTTTCAACAACTTTTCCTTTGTCCTTTTCACAGCTTATTTACTTTCAGGTGGTTTTGGGCTTCACATGCGAGTCTAATGTGATACTGCTGTCTACAAACGAGAAAGTGAATGGGACTAAGTAAGAGGATAGGAAGAAAATTTTGCCTAAAGATTAAGCTGAAGTGATTTCGTTGCTAGGCGTGGTAGATTAAGCATAAGATCTGACTGTAGTTTTCTTAGTTATATAATTGTCACATGAAAAGTTACATATTCATATAAATGTATGCAATCTTCTTCTTTTGTTGGACATCATAAATTTCCTAGGTAGCATTTTTAGTTTGTTTTCACAAAATAACATTCAAGTTAAAAATAACTAGAAGAGGTTTTATTGAAAGATAAATATACTCTTATACCTCTAAAGTTAATTAACTTTAGATCTTTTTGTTATTAGAGTTAAAAGGTGGAATTTTGGGTTTAAATTATTTTTAAAAATAGAAAATAAATATTAAAGATTTTAAAATAAAAAGTTGAAAAATAGTCTCAAAAAGAATTTTCAAATTTCTGAAAGATTTTTTTTTTTTAAAGTTCAAAAATTTAGAAAAAGTGTGAATCTAAAAAGATATAATCAAAAAATATTTTATTATATTTAGTTTTTTATATTTATTTATTAGTTATATGTTTATAAAGCAATAGACACAAAAATCTTTTGTTTTTATAATGAAATTTCCGTTGATCATTTTCTTGCTTGAATGTTTTTTTTATGATAAAAACTTAAAAATGCTATTTGAGAGAATTAGCCTTTGGAGAAATACTGTATACACTAATCAAATTAATTTTTATCTACAAATCTTAATCATTGACTACTTTATACTCTTTGCTCTATTTTAGGTGAACTGCAATTGAATATTTTTAATTAAGGTATTTCTTCCTCAACTCTGTTTCCAAACTTTTGTCCATAAAATTCTTTTTTATTCACACGTTCTTTGGGTGTAAGAGTGCAGATGCATCAAGAAAAAAATAGAAACCATCAAATCTAAATTATTTTTCAAAGCTGAAGACCGTTAGCATTGCCCTCTTTCTTCAAATAAATACAAATAATGAGGACGAGAGTTTCACCTCAAAGTTGTATTTGATCTTAAGATGCATATATGGCTTTGCCAACACCATGGCCTAACACTAATTGACCATTGCAATAAATCTAACCTATTTTATTTACACTCCCATAACGGTACATAAAAACAAACAGAGCACCCAAGACCAACCTATTTTTTTCCACAAAAAACATCACAAATGAATTCAACTCATTTGTTATCAATTCCACAATCCGCATTAGTCAAAATCACATTACAATAGAAATACATGTTATTAATCAATATATGTAAATTTATACACTTTACCCACTAAATATGCACCATTCTCACCAGATGGCACCTGCATGAATTGAATACTTATAACCAAATACAAGCTAATCATAGCTCCACAAACTTGAAAAGGATTTCAATCAATCACACCTCAAAGAGTAAACTTACAAAATAAACAAATAGATCTAATAACAAATATTTAAAACAATGTGACTTAATTAACAAATATTCCGCGCGTAGCGCGGACAACCACTAGTACATGATATGATTAACATATATAACCCAATTAATGATTATAAAGAATAAATATTTGATAACAATTTTTGTCCTCTATACTTTTTCTTTGGTTTTATATTATTATAAAAAGAAATCATATTAAGCATATAATAAAATTTAGATTTTTTTCTTATATGTTATGTTTCAATATTTAAAAAAAACGATTATAAATTATTAAAAATGTTTAAAATCTCACATTGAAAATTTTATGATAAGTGGTAACATTTTTTAGTCCAGCTCATCGTTTTTTGATGGACCTTAAATAATTTTCAATGATTAACTAAATATGCCACATACATAGTAGAAAGTGTTTTAGTTAAAAATTGTTGCGTGCTCAAAATTAATATAAACCATCATCAGTTTTGTTTGAAATTTTGTTATAATAAAAACTATAAGATTGTGTAAAAAATCTAAATCCAAATAACTGAACTAAATTTAATCTGACAAAATAATGGTATCTAGAGAACCGAAACTGAACCCGATCCGAATCGAAATATTTCGGGTATCAAAGTATATTAGAACCAGATTTATATACTTAAATATATTAAATGTTTTCAAATTTAATATCTTAAATATTATACAAAATACATAAGATGTTTTTAAATTGTCCAAAATACTTACAAATATCAAAAATAGTTAAAAGTATATGTTAAAAATAGATAAACGTTACAAAAATACCAAAAATACTGAAAGCATCGATTGATTTTCTATTCATGAGCAAAACCAATTTTTATTCTAAGTTGACGTGATCTTTACGTGTACACACGGGGAACATGTTGACGTTCTTCAGAACTTTCAGCCGCCAAAACACGTATGGGAAACTTAACTGATCACGCGACGTGTAGCGGACAACGTCACTGAACCAGAGGCACATGAAAAGGTTTGTCAGTGGTGTGTGTTCCCTCACAATCACAGACGCTTCAGACAAAGCTGTTAATTTGAAAACACACAAATAAAACACTACTTGTTGTCACAAAATCTTCATCCTCACTGAGATTATAAAAAGAGGCTTTACCTTTTTTCCCGTTGAATCTTTTATCTTCGGGTAATTTATCATGCCGATACTGATTTATCTGCACTTCGACTTCTTCAGGTGTAGCTTTGTGTTTCTTGACGACAGCTTTTGCCTCGCCAAAAAGCAACGTAGCATACCTGCATCCACAAACACACAATTAGATGCACAAGACCAAAAGAAGTTATCAAAAGAGTAACAATCTATTCAAAATGCTTATTCAAGAACAGTGACAAACCTTTTGAGTTGATGCCTCAGACATTCCAATAGGTTGGTAAAGGTTATCTCAACAACCAAAAGCACACGTGGAGAGAACAACTTGACAACGTTGCATAAGCTTCTTATCCTCATCCTCATCCTCAATCCTAAACCCACCATTCTCATTGAAAACCCCACAATGCACTGAAACTGTCTCCCTCACCTAAACACAACGCCAAAAAATAAAAATAAAAAATCAGCAATCAAGAACCATACAATAATGTGGAAAACACAAGTTATTACCAAGTTTCGTGACCTGAAAACTACTCTCTCTCTCTCAGCAAAACTCTGGTTCCCAGTAAATAAATTAAACCGCGTCCCGTTCTCACGAACAGGAGAGCTTGAAAAATCTGTACCGGTTAAGTGCAAAAGTTTCTTAACCGGAGAGGTCGAATCTTTACGGTATAAGATCTCAAGATGCTCAAGCTCTTCAGGCGGTAGAAGCTTTAAACAACCTAACACACACAAATCAATCAACAGCAGAGACAGATTCAAATTAATGTTAAAAATAGATGGAGAGTGAGGTTACGTTGCCTAACCAACCTTCAGGGAATGACACTTGGTAAATTACGTGAGTTAGGGGAGGGGGGTGTCAACATCTTTATCCTTGATTTTGTCTGATACCGAGACGAACAAACAAATCATCTAGATTTACACACAACTCACAGATTCATGTTCAAAGCTTTTCAAACTTTAGTAAGAGAATCATAGAATTTACTCACAGAAGCTTATGTTCCAAGAATTTCAGATCTTGTGACTTTCAGGTGGAGGCGGAAGACTTTCCGAAGATTACATTGACGGGTGAAATTATGAGAATTTGCTCTGAAAATAATAAAAAAAAAACGTGAGGAATCCTCTGTTTCCATTATCTATCAGCTCGGTCTTCAATGATTCATGGAAGTGGATACTCCCAAACCCTAAGACAATCAATTCTTGTCTCTAGCTCTCTATTGTAGATAGAGAATAGTTCTGTTCGAATCACAAAACAAATCTGGAGATATAAAACGTAAATTCACCCGAGGTTACAATTCAGAAAGTAACTATAAGACGAAAATTCTAATCATTGAAGTTGTTACAGAAAACAAAGCAGATTAAGAAAGTAAAAATTCATATTACACATATACCGAACAGATTTAAGTAAAATCAAATGGATTGTCATCTCCATTATGGTAGAAGCAAGTACTTTACTTGTTTTGAGCTACGGACAGAGGACTCTGCATAATCATCCTCCCTCCTGAAATTTGAAAGATCTTCTAAATCATCTACATCACATGAGAAGAACAAAACGTAGATAAGGAAAGTGCCACATATACAGTATTACATGGCTTCATTTAGTAAAATAGATTGAACAAAATCGGGGAAAAGCAATTGAAAGACGTAAGCATAAGAAATAATTGCAGAGAACATGAGCAAATGGTTCGTTGCCTCATAAACGCAGAAGCAGAAGCATATTGTACCTATGAAATTTAAGATGTGATTAACACTCATCTGCATTACGGTTATGAACGCTTGAGGTTTTGAAGGTTTGAGTAAAGAGGAGAGAGATCGAGATTGAGTAAGGAGGGAGGAGATCGAGAAATATTTGGAGATAAAAGAGTTTCAGTGATACTTGACAATTATGGATTGATATTGCTCGGCGATCGGCTTTAGGAGTCGTACTCATCTCCTCCGCTTCCGTCTCCATCGCTAAAACCAGATCTGTCGCCACCTTTCTCCCTTTTCATCAGAGAAGAGGGAGATCAAAGGATACACGATTAGTTGGGGTGAAATCAGGGTTTGAAGGGAGATCCTTTTCGCGTGGATGAAGAAGACGAACGCAGCATCTATTTGGGCTTCCGTAACAAAACTCAACGAAAACACTTGATGATGTGGCGAAAAGTTATAATATGACTGGTCGAATATAATTGAAGACGTGGCGTAGCTAAGAAGGTTTGATTAGCGTTTTTAATAGTGATAGATTATAATAATTTACTTCTAAGAGCATCTTCAATCCCACTCCATATTTTATTAAGTGGAGACTAGAGTAATAAAGAAACAAAAATCTCAATACTCCATATTTGGAGTAATCACTTTTTTGTTTCTTCATCACTCCATTTCCCACTCCATTTTGCAATAAATTATGGAGTGGGGTTGGAGATGCTCTAAGACTCCTAAAGATGTCCACATCAGCAAGGTTGTGGGCTCTACGCGTTTAAATTTTAAATCTTATAGTTTTTTTAAAATGAATATGAACAATGAATACACTTTAACAAAGTGGTATAAGCCATCTAATTAAGTCTGCAAGCATGTGGGTTCAAATCACGCAGCTGTTATGTATTTTAGTTTTTTTCGTTTGGATTATTGTCATATGAGCTTTTTAGTTTTAATGTTTGTATGTTTTTTTACCTCTGGACTTATTGTTTAAAGCCCAAAATAGTAGAAAAATTCTAAAGTGTGACGAACTCAAACCCAAAAACTATTAAGAATGGATAAAAAAACGAACATCCCAAAAAAAAACAAAAAACAAAACGAGTCCCACTCAGCACTATCATGTCCTAATATATATTTTACGTTAGAACATATTTCCTAATATATTTTTTCAAAAAATTATGATGTGAAATAAAATAAAAACAAGAAAATTTAAGTATTTTTTGTTATTTATAAAATAACTATGTAATTTCTCTTCAATTTAATAGTTACTATAATTTCATTTTTAACAGATTACGGCGAATGAATTTCCACAGTCGATGACGCCGTAAATAAAAAAGCCACATTATCCATGAACAAAATCCATACTTAGAAAAAAAAACATATCCAAACCTATCTATTGAAACCCAAACAACAAATATTAGCTTAAACTAAAGTTATTTTCAAATTGATAAATCATTTAGTACAAATATAAATACTATAAATATGTAATTATATCAAGTTTTGATCTCTGATATGAAAACTATTTCCAACATAAAAAAACAAGATAGACACCTATTTTTATACACTAGAAACTATATTATAATTTAGTTATCCCTATAAACCTTACTTCGCATATAAATAACATTTAACACATTATATATACAATATTTTCACTTTACACTCTTGCTATCTTCTTTCCATTTCATCATTGTTTGATATTATTAGAATCACTCACTAAACCAACAACCGAAAAAACACAAGCAAACATCAATGATCCCGGCTCCGCGCTTGCGCGGGGGGGGGGGGGGTATGCAACAGTAATAATAGTAAGAAATCATGGTGCGTGGTTTGAACCCACATGCTTGCAGACTTAATTAGATGGCTTATACCACTTTGCTAAAGTGTATTCATTGTTCATATTCATTTTAAAAAAACTATAAGCTTCTAAAATTTAAACACGTGGGACCCACAAACTTGCTGATGTGGATATCTTTAGGAGTCTTAGAAGTGAACTATTATAATATAGATTACTATTAAAATTAATAGTAAACCAAAATTGACTAGTCTTAATGTAACCTAAATTCTCTTTGGGATACGGAAACCTTTCATGACCTAGTTTTTTTCTTGAAATTCATGATTTTTTTTTGTTGGTTTGATTTGGAAACTTTGATTCCGATTATTCATTTTAATCTAACTTCAATAAATGTTCATTTTGTTTTGGTCCTTGATTCAAACCAATCAGTTATATTTCTAATCTTATGGATAAGACAATAATAAAACGGAAATAGAAAATGTCAAGAACGAATATGCAGAAAACAAGTTTCTTTGCCTCAGGAATGTTTGCTGCATAGGTAGAGACAGTTCAAGCTTCAACGGGCATGACTCTAGTAATGCTTTCCTTCTGCTATTTGTGTGTTTCTGTTAACTTTAGGAAGCTCTCTCTCAACAATTGTGAACCTCTAATTCAGTAGGTTAAAGCGCGATTCTCCTCTTGATCTATCAAGACACTATCCTTTGTTGGTCAGTTCCTCCTCATCAAGACTATAATCTTTGGAATCACAAAATTTTGGTGCTCAGTATTTATTTTGCCTAAAGCTTGTATCCCCATAATCAATTCTCTATGTAGCATGTTCATGTGGAAAGAAAATTTAAAAGGTCATCACTCTGCTCAAGTATCATGGAAGATTTTGGTTCTTACAAAGAGGCAATGTGGATTAGGAGTAAATGACCTACAAACCTAGAATAAAGCTTGTTGTCTCCGTCTAGTCTGGATGTTATTCTTCAGGGAGGACTCAGTTTGGATAATGTGCTTCAAGGAGTTATTCCTAAAGGATCGATCCATAACTGCTGAACTACAACTCCAAAGCAGCCTTACTCATGGCTCACCAACAAATTATTGAAATTGAAAAACATTGTTTTCCCTTTGATCAAGCTAAGGCTTAAGAATGAAAATGCACCAAGGTTTTGGTTTGACAACTGGACTCCGTTTGGTAGACTCGTTGATTATCTCTCTACCTCGACAGATTGGTTGGGGATCCCTCTGCCATCAACCGTCTCTTCTCTGCCTGTGAATAGATTGTGGCGCTTACCACCTGCAAGGTCAGACAATCAACTTCAGCTTCATTATCACCTAACAACTATCCAGCTTAGTTCCTCTGATGATTATTATGAGTGGGAAATTAATGGAAGAACTTCAAATAAGTTCAAAACAGAAGAGCTCTATTCATACCCCATCTGAAGAGTGACTGGATGTCTCATGGCATAGAGCAATCTGGACATCCAAGGAATACCAAGACACAGGCCGTGCCTGATGTTTATGGACCCTAAGCACTAATATATTTTGGCCCTTTAATGACTTATTTTTGAAAAAAATATTAAAGATGCAGAGGTCAGACAATCAACTTCAGCTTCATTATCACCTAACAACTTTCCAGCTTAGTTCCTCTGATGATTATTATGAGTGGGAGATTAATGGAAGAACTTCAAATAAGTTCAAAACAGAAGAGCTCTATTCATACCCCATCTGAAGAGTGACTGGATGGCATAGAGCAATCTGGACATCCCAAGGAATACCAAGACACAGGCCGTGCCTGAAGTTTATGGGCCCTAAGCACTAATATATTTTGGCCCTTTAATGACTTATTTTTGAAAAAAATATTAAAGATGCAGAGGCAAAGAATTGAACACTCAACCCTTTTTATCTCAGATATGGAGGAATACCGGTAGAGCTGATTGCATTTTTTTTTGTAAAATATTGGCCCTCAAAATAATTTAAAACATCAGGGCCCCAAGCATATGCTTGATTAGCTTGTGGTCAGGCACGGCCTTGCCAAGACACAACTTTCATGCGTGGGTTGTATTTCATGACCGCCTTCCTACTTGAGACATATTGATTCAGTGGGGATTACAAGTTGACCACAAGTGTCTCCTCTGTAACTCCTCCTCAAAATCCCGAGACTATCTCTTCTTTGGTTGCAACTTCAGCTTTCAACTATCGAGCCTCTCTGCCAAAAAAAATCCTATCCCACCGCATCGATCGTGGACCAAAACTATTCTGAAGATATCATCGCTCTCTCCTCGTATGCAACTAGACTTCTCACTTTGCTGGCTTGGCAAGCAACCTTATATTGGCTATGGAATGAGCGTAATAACAGAATGAATGCAAACTATTTCCGATCTCTGGAGACCATCTTTGCTTTGATTGATCAAAAAATTAGGAACAAATCCGGAGCTTCTGTGAATCCAACCTTAACCGCTACTCTCAAATGATGCAACTCTGGATTCGATCACCTTGATCAGACTTCCCATCAGAACCCTCCACCTTTGCATGCAACTTACTATCTCCTCTTTCTCTATCTCTTTTTGGTTTACTAAGCTTTTGGGCTACTGATATACCATGATTTTGACCCGTTTTAGTCATGGTATATTGGTGTTTTTACTACTATTTATTATATTATAGAAGCTTTTAACCATATTTATAGGTTCAGGAGTATTTTGGAAGAAAGTGATGTTTTGAAGCATTTTGGAGAGAATTGGAGAAATCACTCGATTTGGAATTGACCACGACGATCGAGGTCGACATGGAGTGACTCACGTCGATCGACATGCACCTAGCATGATTGATCGATGCTAAAGGCACGGAGGCCAGTTCGCGAGACAAGCCAACTTGAAGCCCAAACATTACCAAATGATGATTTTACCCCTGGCGAGTTTTAACTTAAGTTTATATACTTTGCCAAGGTATTAGAGGAAGATAGAGCTCTTTGTATTCTTTTCACAGCAAAAAGTTTTAGGATTTATAGTTTGAGAGAGAAGATCATCAAAGAGATTTGTGATTGGAACTTCATTGTTTTCTATCTATATATCTATACTATGCAGTTTTATTACTTTACTTGTGTAATGAATTTCTTAGCCATGTCTGAGTAATTCACTCGTTAGAATTCAGCTTTAAATAGGTTAGAGGGATTAGCCCCAACTATAGGATTTCTTATTGTGGTATTCATTAATAGGATGTTCTTAATGCTCATGTTCAAGACTTCCTAACTAGAAACCTGAATCTAGGATTGTTAGGTTGTTTAAATACCTTTAAAATAATACTGATAGTCTTGAACACGTCCTGATTAAGCTAGGATTTTACTAGAAATACAGTGAGAGTTTGATCTATGGATCCATAGCGAGTATTTGTTAACTCGCGTGTAACGCTTGACCAGCCGCATCGATCGATGTTCCCATAAGAAATCGACCAATGAATTGCTTAGCCATGTCTGAGTAATTCACTTGTTAGAATTGAGGTTTAAATAGGTTAGAGGGATTAGCCACAATTATAGGATTGCTTGTTGTGGTATTCATTAATAGGATGTTCTTAATGCTCATGTTCTAGACTTGCTAACTAGAAACATGAATCTAGGATTGTTGGGTTGTTTAAATACCTTTTAATAATTCTGATAGTCTTGAACACGTCCTGATTAAGCTAGGATTTTACTAGAAATACAGCGAGAGTTTGATCTAAGGATCCATAGTGTGTCTTTGTTAACTCGCGTGTAACGCTTGACTAGCCGCATAGATCTATATTCCCATAAGAAATCGATCGATGGTGAGTAAAGTGAATCGGTCGATATTCCTCTAGAATAATCTATCGACACTGTCATTGATCGGACAATATTGTCTTGGTCAATAGCATTCTAGTCAATAGGCTTATTTATTAAATAAAAGTTTAGTAAATTTGTTGATTAAGATAGTTAATGCTCTTTAATACCATGCAAACAACTAGATAGAACCTATATGATTATAATCTCCAACAGCTGAAAAAAACCCTAAGTCTAGCAATTTTCCATTTTAGTTTCACAACCCTCATTCCATTCTTGTTAAGTAATTGTCTTGCTTAATTAGAATATTTCATATTTACTGTTTACTTGCTTACTGCAATTTATTATTTGTATTCACCTAGATTATTGATTGATTAGATTTAATAGGTTCCATAACTCCTTGTGGATTTGATCCCTAAGTACTTCAATAGATCTCTTATTTGAGAAGGTAAGTTGCTCCGTAGGGTAATATTTGAGCAAGCATCAGCTACATGGTTTAATTAGGCACTACAAGAAAACATGTCATTTCCGACTATGATATGAGTCGTCATTCAGTCACTAAATGGTCATTCCGACTGATTATAGTAGTCGTATTACACCTCGTCGCTAAATAATTTAGTCGGAAAACAGTCGGTATTTACCGACTGTTTTCCGACTATTTAGGTAGTCGTAATATCAGTCGTTAATCAGTAGGCAATTTAGCGACTGACTTACGACTCATTTAGTTACTATATTACGACGGAATTAACGACTGACTTAACGACTAATTTTATTAGTAGATAAACCGTCGGTATATTTCTACGACCGAATGACGACTGATTAGTGACTCAATTGGTGACTGATATGCGACTATCTTACCATATCTTTGACTGTTAAATACATTCTTTTGGTGTATTTTTTGTTTGTTGTTCATAATTTGTTATTTAAATCTGCTACTATTAAAATAATTGATATTAATAACTACTAAAAACGATTTGTACCATAAACAACCAAAAGAACTCCAGACTTGGGAGTTTTAAGTTTCAAACATCCAAAAAAAACTCCAACACTTAAGGAGTTTACAACTTTTCACACATCCAAAAGAGAGTAAGTGAAAGGCAAAGAAGGCAAGACCTAAACATGATGGGAATCAGATGAAGCTCTTTCTTTGGAGACAAAGTCCAAGAATCTCTGGTCTGTGATGCTCAAGTACTTCTTAACTATTGAGAACTCTTCAATTGTAGACTTCTGAGTAGCTATAAGTATATAACTCTTCCTCAACCTTTTCTTCAGCAGCAGCAGCAGCAGCTTGGGCACGCTATTCCTCAGCCTTTGCAAGAAGAGCAGCTTGTTCTTTTATTTGGCATTGAGCTTCTTCAAGTTGCTGCTGCAATTGCACGAAAGAGGACAAGCTTCTTGGGTCATGTGGCAGTTCATTAAGCTGGTTCTTTAAGCTTCCAAGGCCGTAGATAGGCCCCCTGTCATTGGTGAAAGTGGCCTACAAAAAGAAAATGTATAGTGAGAGACTATCAGTAACAAGAAAAAACAACCAAAAACATAAGACATAAACTTTGACTGTAAGAAACCCAACCTGAATAAACAGCTCATTCTCCTCTTCTATTGATGCTCAGTCTCAGTCTGATCAGTCTCAAGGCTCGCCAACTTAGCTTCTTTTTTCTTCTTGAAAGCCTCAGCAACTTGTTCAGCTTTGAAATCGCTGAAGGTTCGATCAGATTTTGTATGAGCTCTGATGAATACTTCACCAAAGCTCACTGGTCTTCCCAATTCAGCAACCTAAAGTGAAACGGAAGAAAATATCAGTATAAAATGTTAAAAAATCAAACATACTTATCAGATTCAAACATACTTGGAGGCAAATAAAATGTTAAAAAATCAAACATACTTATCAGTATAAAATGTTAAAAAATAGTAGGGACTTACCATCTCTTGGTGGATCTGCATATAAAACTTCGGGCCAGAGTTATGAGTGTGAACACCAAGACCTTGACGTTCAGACATTCTAGCTGCTGATGCTATTGAGCTCTTTGAAACCGCAGCATCAGTGTCCAATAGTCAGTCATTGTTTTCCAGAGTGTGTCGTGTATCCAAGTAGGTTTCTCCCTAGAAGTCCTTACGTTGCTGACCATGTCTTTCATTCGTAATAGAGCAATTGCCTTAAAATGTTCTCGAACAACACCAGTCAATGATGGATGCCATGTGTGAGTTTTCTACAAATGAACATAGAAGAAGATATCAGTTAGCCATCAAAAAACAAAGAATTGAAAGAAAAAAACAGAGTCTAACACTTGCATAATAATTATAAAACCTCAAAGACAGAAAAGAGACAAAGAAGCTTACAGAAATTCCAAAAAGTAATGTTCTTGTCTGTCTCTAGGCACACGAGTCGAGCTGTAGAAAGGTTTATTAAACTTGTTCTTTAAAACCTTGGTAATCTTTCTAGTCAACTTCGACATGTCATAACCAAACCTACAAACATATATTATCAACAATACAAACTTAAAGCATAGTAGAAGAAAATCATCCTCCGATAATACCTCAATTAAGATTTTAAGAAAATCTACTAAAAACAACTAATTTGTTTTGGCTGACAGCTCGAAAAAAGACGTTATCCTTTTAAGAGCAACTCATCCCACAGTCAAAATATTATTGTGTTTTAAGTAAACATTGGGTTATAAATTAATAATGAAGATTGACTTGAAAACGGAGAAAAGGATAGGAAAAAAACTCATGTTTAATTAATTCTATAAGTAGTAATCAAGACCAACGAGACAACACAACACATGAATGTTTGATTACTTCTATAAGTAGTAAATATTTCTGTCTATCTTCTTGCACGCAGAGACTCACTGGTCCACTTCTTATCCTTTCCTATTGAACTAGTATTAAAGAAAACTGCTTACTTAGAGGATTCCAACAAACTCAATACGATGACATTGTTAATATATATATTAATTTTCAGTTGTTAAACAACAAACATGTAATCTATTTAAGCCAAACAAAAGAAGACAAGCAAAGACCATAACTGATACATCAACAAATTCACATTCTTGACAGATTGTAGCTAAATTTCTATAGTTTTTCAATACACTCAATCATCAACAATTTCAGCTAAACCCATAAAAGACAATTGTAATAAAGGAATAAAAAATACCATGTGGTTCCTGGCTCAAGGTTGAGAGACAGGACAGTTATATTCCTCCCTCGAACTGGCTGGTTTAGGAGAGAGTTCAAATGTTCCATATGGTCAGAGGCGAGATTAGGTTCAACCTCTGGAGCCTCTACATCAGACATATCCTCCTCCTCTTCTGGGATATGAGAATTTTGTGCTTCAGAACTGTGGGGCGATTGAGAAGCTCGAGCTGGAGGCGATTGAGATGCTAGGGCTGGAGAAGATTGGGACGCTCGAGCTGGAGGAACTTGAGATGCTCGAGCTGGAGGCACTTGAGATGGTGGACGTGGGTTGATATTTTCAGTGGATTGAGTTTGTCGCTGTTGAGGTTTAGTAGTACCAACAGCTGGAGTGAGAGGAGACTGAGTAAAGGTCATCGTCGGAAACAGATTCCTCGGAGGTGGATAGTCGCGAACAGAGGGGAGATTATGTTTCCTAGGAAGAACCGGTGGGCTGGACTGAGATGGATCCGTCGGTGTGAAGTCATACTGCGGTGGTAAAGAAGATGGTCGTTTTGCAACCCTAGAGGTATTAGGTTTGAGGGTCTGTCGCTTCCTCTTTCCACTCATCGTCGGAGATATACGCTGAAGATTGGTGAGAGATATTGAGAAAGATGAGAGAGCCGTCGAGAAAACTGAGAGAGATTAGGGTTTTCTCTTTCTCAGATATGCGAGAGATATGAACTCTTGGACCTAAATTACCATGTGGGTTCGCAGGCTTAGGCCAAAAAATTAAAATATTTTGGGTTTTCGCGGTATCATATCTTTCGGAGGCAAAAACTAAAATTTTGGCCGCAGTCGGTACATAGTAGGTTTTCAGTCGCTAAACTTACTTATGAAAATCAACATAAAATTATAAAGCAAAGTTTTCGCGGGTTTAATCATTTTTGGAGATAAAACCGAACTTTTTTTTCAACAGTCGGTAATTAGTAGGACTTCAGACGTTGAATTTTAAATAAAATTCCAAAGAAAAGTGTACATAATAAATTATACAACATATTTTTTCAAGATTTATGCGATTTAAAAATTATTGGAGGCAAACAAACTGTACATAAGAAACCCAAACTCTAATCCCTAACCTCAAACCCTAAAATTTTAAATCTAAATAACATAATATTACAAACATAATATATTACATATGAAAAATAAAGTTTATAACATATATATAAAACATAATACTGCATATGGTAACCGAAATTCTGAACATCATATCACAAGATAATATTACACATAAACTTAACTAAGAAACTTAGTACAGTTCTTCTTCATCTTCATCATCATCTGAAGACGATAAATTACATCGGAATTCATCCTCTGGTTCTGCATCTCCCACATCAAAATCAATATTTATTGATTCTACTCGAGTGAATACGAAATGCTCGACTTCAATGTCTTCAACTGTGGTCATCAAAACAGCAGCATCGTTTTCTTGTTACAACGTCGCCGGATCTTTGTCTTCATATTCTCCAGAAATGATTTTCCTTGGATTAACTTTTAGAACATTGAGCCATAACTGCTTTGGTTTCCTTACATAAGGGTATGGAATATAACAAACTTAATGTGCTTGAGATGCTGTGAAAAAAATTATAATTAATAAAATTAAATATTAGTATTATGCATATATATATATACATATATATATAAAAATACCTAGAATAAATGGATCATATTTGTAGTATTTTCTCGATGAAAGAACATCCACGATTCTGCCATTGCTCCGCCGTGTGCCTCTACCAATAACAGGAACATACCACTTACACTTAAAAAGTGTGATTTTCAAATTGACTATCCCCTCGTACTCGATTTGTATGATATCTGTTAAGATCCCGTAGTAATGAGACTCATCAGCTGCATTTATATAACTCTCTCCTTTAACGCATACTCCATAGTTACAAGTCTATGCTTTTGGGTATGGAACAGAAAACCTCTTGTGAAATAAATTGGCCAGGATTTGGCCTTATTTATTGGTTCGTGTACAATGTTTTTAACCCATGGAGGAAAAGGATGTGTCTGGCTCCAATAACTAACCTGCACATTTATATATACAAGATTGAAACTATGTACGGTACATTAATTAAATATTATAATAGTATTACGGAGACGTACATAATCTTTCACCCATGTATGATATTCATCAGCTCTTTTCGCAGTGAGTTCTTTTTCGGAAAGGTCTGGATATTTTGTAGATAGAAAATCTTCGAACATCCTATAGAGTAACATAATTAAAATAAGAGAAACCAAAGTATGATATATATATATATATATATATATATATATATATATACATATACCTCTCAAGTGGCTGCAAAATAATCACAATTTCGTAAAACATAAGCATGTGCGCATAGATTATCTTTCTCGGAAAGCCAAATTTCTTGTACTTCTCCGCTTGGACGACCTACTTGAGTAAATATATCAGGTACTCCTTCAACATGATAAACAGGGACTTCACCTTCCTCAAATCTTGTAAACCTACCCATACAAGGACAAGAAATCCACATTTTAGAAGAAATCATGTAAATACACATGAACCGGTGAATATGGACTAATTATAACATATACCTCGATTTCGTTTGTATATGGTTAGCAAAGTAGTGCTCTGAGAAATAAGCTATCTCGTTATTGATATATGCTTCAACTATCGACCCTGCCGCATATCTTTTGTTTGTTCTTTGCATTGGCTTTCAACTTTTGAAATTTATTTCATAAAGATACATCCACCTATATAGCACGGGGCCTCCTAGTTCAGCTTCGTAAGGGAGATGTATAGTCAAGTGCTCCATCACGTCAAAAAATGATAGTGGAAAGATCTTTTCCAAATTGCAGAATATCAAAACAATGTTCTTCTTAAGTATTTTTACGCGATCTTTTTGCAAAGTCCTCCAGCAAAGATCACGAAAATATAAACCAACCGCTGCAATATATATTCAAATTTCAGATAATTACTAACACAAGTTATAAACACATAGAGTTGTAATATATCATAAAAATATAACTAATTAATGAGTACCTGATAATGCAAGATGGACGTTCTCGTCTAGGAGTTCTGCAAATATAAATGGAAGTAGCCTCTCCATAAACACATGACAGTCATGACTCTTCATCTCTGAAAACTTGTCTTTCTCTATATCGGCACAATTAGCTAAGTCTGATGCATATCCATCTGGGAATTGTACTGATTTTTTCACACAATCCAACAAACTTTTTCTTCCTTTCTCGTCCAATGCGTAGGGAGGAAAAGGATCTTGGCCAAGCCTATCCACATGTAAGTGTTGCCGATCACAGAAAAGTGCTATATCCAATCTTGACTTGATTGTATCTTTCGACTTATCCTTCACACTCATAACCGTATTCATGATGTTTTCAAAAAAATTCGTCTCAATATGCATAACATCAAGATTATGTCAAAGATTTAGGTCCCTCCAGTACGGAAGCTCCCAGAATATGCTTTCCTTGTGCCAATTGTGGTTCTTCCCATAGCCAGGTTTCTTCTTCTCATGGTCATTTCCACCACACTTGGACGTTTTAGGTGGATTGGCACCTTTTAATCGCTCAGAATAAACTTGTTCACCAGTCAAAGACTCGGGTGAAAAGTCATTCATAGCGTGTTTTCCCTTCAAGAAGTCTTTTTTGTTCTTCCTCAGTGGATGGTCATGAGGAAGAAATCTCCGATGACAATCAAACCAACATGTCTTCCTTCCATTAGGCAGATAAAAAGCCTTTGTATCTTCCAAGCAAATTGGACAAGACAACTTGCCATGAGTCGTCCATCCTGATAACATGCCATATGCCGGAAAGTTGCTTATCGTCCACAGAAGCACGGCTTTAAGATTAAAATTTTGATTCAATGAAACGTCGTATGCTTCAACTCCAGTAGACCACAACTCTTTTAACTCTGAAATAAGGGTTTAAGGAAGATATCTAGACTTGCTCGCGGGTGATTTGGCCCAGAATTCAAAATTGTGAGAAACAAGTACTCTGTATCCATGCACATGCCAGGGGGTAGATTATATGGTGTCAAGATCACTGGCCACAACGAATGATTATTAGACATCCCAAATGGATTGAATCCATTTGTACATAAGCCGAGATAAACATTACGAGGTTCCTCGCCAAATTGGGGATGTTGATCTTGAAAGTGTTTCCACTCTGCCACATCTGACGGATGACACATTTCACCCTCCTTTGTTTGGTGCTCCGCATGCCATCTCATCGCTGCTGCTGTCTTCTTACTCTGATACATTATCTTCAATCTGTCAGCAATAGGTAAATACCACATACGACTATATGGCACTTCGGTTCTACGATGTTCGCTTCTAGGCTTCCATCTTGGTGCATCACAAGACTGACACTTATCCCACCTTTCATCCTCTTTCCAGAAGATCATACAATTTTTAACACACACATCAATTGTATCGTATGGGAGGCCTAAATTACGCATTAACCTTTCTGTCTCGTAATGTGAACCGGTTGATTGGTTTTCAGCTGGTAAATAGTCTGTCAAAATTTCGCATACCGAATCCACACACTTTTCACTCATATTATAATCTGCCTTATTTTGCATAATCCTAGAAGCTAATGATAACTGCGAGTGACCTTCTCGACAGCCATCATATACAGGATTTTTCGCTCCTTCTAACAAGTCGTAGAATTTCTTAGGATGGTTGCATTCTGAATCTACTACATTTTGATAACCATCACCATGTTGATAGTTATCAAAACTCACATTATCACGAAATGCATCATTCACCATTTCCACATATCAATCTTCTACTACATTACCAACTTCTTCACGACCACTAAAATGCGTCTGATCAACGTAACTTGTTCCTAATTCCATGTCAAGTTCTTCTCCATGCTTGTACCACACATAATAGTCGAGCATAAACCCTTTACTATATATATGTTTCAAAATTCGTTGTCCTGGGAGAAATTTTTCGTTTTTGCAAACACTGCAAGGGCAAAAGAACTTACCCTGGTTACTTTGTGCTAGAGGCTGACTATTTGCAAATGTCATGAATTGCTCTACTCCCGCTACGAATTCTTCCGAGAAGTTCCCCGTTTCTTCATTCATCATCTTGTACATCCAATCTCGAAAATTAGTGTAGTTGTAATTGTCTCCCATTATATGACCGAACGTTTTGTTTATAATTTTTCTTTCTTCACGCTTGAGACGATAAAATGTCTCGGTGATGGTGTATATATAATGAAATTTGCCGACTGTTTTGATACTACTTTCTGACTGATTTTTCCGACTGATTGTTTTAGTCGTTAAAAGTTGTTACACCCACCTAGCAACACCATTCACATGTTTTGTACCTGTTTTTAACGACTGAACTTAACCCAAAATATTTCAGTGACTAAACAGTCGCCAATTAGCGACTGATAAACGTTGATATTTACCGACGTTGTATTAGTCACGTATCAGTCGCTAATATACGACTATGTAGCCACTATTTCTTTCGGTCGGTATTTTCCAACTGATTACTGACTTGTTTGTTATGGTCGCACTGAAGTCGCTGGCCGGTCGAGAATCAGACGGTAATTGTAGCGATTTCATATACAGTCAG